AATAATATAAAATAACTATATACTATATATATATACATACATATATATATATATATATATATATATCTTATTTTACCGACAGAAGAGCCGTCCATTTTATAGAACATCATCACGAATTCAAACCTGTACATATAGCTTTCAAAATAGTTTCAAAACATACCAAAATTCCTGATCACAATTCCAAACGGAAACTGCTTGAACCTGCCATGCTGATGATATCCCCCACTAACCGCAGGACCAAGTCCCCACATGTACATATTCGGTACACCTTCAGGTACATCGCGCTTTCTAATGCGGTCATCCCATACGAACGCAAACGCATCCTTCTCCTCACACGCCTGTTGTACAGCATCGACGAGATGACTGACCCATTTGTATGAACCAGTTCTTTTTAAAGATTCGTGTAGCGGTTGTGGAAGTGTACTTTTACTGTTGCTGTTTGTATCGTCGCCTTTGAACTCGGCTTCGTACCGGTGGCCGAAGTCGTAGTCTGCTGGCAGCCACAGCTGCAGGAAACATGCCGGGCCCATACCAGTTGTCATAGTCGTTGACTATACAGATATACATAAGCTACCTTTAATATTTGTGATACTTACTTCCCTACTGCCATGCTACCATATGGTCGCGTTTAGTTGGGGTACGATGTATATGATCGTCCAACAGGTAGAATGCAGTTTAAAAGTAGTCGTACATGAAGATGTAAATATCACACTGAACGAACACGGGTGCGATTTTGAATCGGTATTTACATAAATTAATATTCTGTTGACTTTTTTTTGGCAATCTGTATCATCATTTGTGAGATGTAAAAACAAGGTTTACACCCGAAAAAAAATAGTTTATTTACGTCATCAATTTATCAGTGATATTTAGGATAAAAATGATAAAATCTTTATGACTCATACATAGGCTCATAGTTTTGCGTCCTACATATCTCTGATACGCTTTTTTATTGTCCAATCTATAATCTTTACTTCACAATAAAATATTTTAGAGGGCTATGCTACTCGGTACGTAATTATGCATAACCTACACCCGATACATACGTCACTCGTACGCTTGTAGTTGGTATTCGAATAGTGGCACAATAACACACATACATACCCATAGACACACATAGACGAGAGAGAAACAATGAGTCAAACTGAACGCGACAACTTGCTCACAACTGAGGACGCTGATGTTGACTGTCCTGATGGCGCCTGAGGCTTCACACCTGGCCAGCGCTCCAGTAACACTACTTACGGAGCTGTTGCACCTGTATGTGATGTCTGTTGCTCTGTTTCATCCTTTTCTGGTACTGTCATTCGTTTGTGCACTGATGTGTGTACACCTGTGTGTCTGTACACCTGTGTGTAGTTGAATCTGTACATGATATCTCCCAGTGTGGTATGTATTAAGTGACTGATCAGTAAGTGTGAAATAGAATACGATATATACCGTGTGTGACATTTTGAACACATGTGCATGAGCTATAAAAATCTTATGTGTATGTGCTGTCTAACTCATTTGTGATTCGTCAGTTATGTGCATGTTTGTGTGTATGCGCTTTGTATGTACCAGTCTGAGTGGGATATGACGGCTTGCCGTTTAATCTGTACGTGATGACTCCCTATTTTGTGAGTTGTCAAGTCATGTGCACACGTCTGTGGGTCTTGTATGTGTGTCTGAAGATGCATAAGCGTTGTTGTTTCTGTTGATTACTATATGCGATATATATAAGTAGCTTGTCCGAGGAGTGTTATATAGTTATGTGAATATCTGCTTCCAGTTCTTTGGCATGAATATACGATCCAATACATTCGTATCACTAACTTATTTATTTGATTCTGCACGCGCATATAAAAGGTGTCTAAACAACTAGTACATGTTTATCGCATGCCGATTTGCACTATATATAGTATCTGTAGACCTACTAGAATGTATCGATGTGTTGGTTATTTTGTATGTAGAGTGCACGTATCATCTTCAATTTGTCAAGTTTGTAGGATTCTTTTGTGTTTAATTAGCAACTGATTTTGATACAAACCAAATGGATTCAGTCATATGCACATAGGATACAAATAGAAAGAATGGAAATGTACTTCACTGTATTACCTCATAACTTCTACTATATTGGTTGTCGGCATACATGGATGTCGTCTTCAATGTATATAAAACTTGATATATATATATATGTATATGTATGCATACTTGTTTACACGTGTGTGTGTGTACACGTGTGTGGTGGAGACTGTGTATGTGGCTGTGGCTGTGTCTATGTCCTGTGTCTGTGTTTGTACGTCTATGCGTGTGTTTGGGGGGGTGTGGTGTGTGTGGTGGTTGTGTGTGCGTGTGTGTGTGTGTGCGCGCCTGTGCGTCTCTGTGTGTGTCTGTGTCCTGTGTCTGTGTCTGTGCGTCTATGAATGTATGTGTGGGGGGAGGGTGGTGGTGTGGGTGTGTGTATGTGTGTGTGCGTGTCTGTAAGTATGTATATGTGTGAGTGTGTGCGTCTGTGTCATTGTGTCTGTACGTCTATGTGTGTGTGTGTGTTGTCTGTGTCTGTGTCTGTGGCCAAGTCTGCGTTCGTGTCTGCGTTTTTGTCTGTGCGTCTATGTGTCTAAGGGTCTGTGGGGAGTGTGTGTGTGTGTGGCGGTGTATGTGTATGTATCTGAGTCTGCACCTTAGTATGTACCTGTGCCTATGCCGTAGTGTGTGTGTCTGTGTCTGTTTCTGTGTCTTTGTCATTGTCTTTGTCTTTGTTCTGTATATATATATATATATATATATCTTCTTATGATGGAATTAATCTCAATATTTACTTACCGTAGACCTCTAGTGACGGTGGGTCTGGCCAGGTGGGCATTGAGGATGAAGAAGAAGACCCGGCGGGAGTGTGGTCAGCAGTCTTTGCTATTGCAGTATCTTTGCCCGCGTTAGGTGAGCAGTACCTACTTACACCTCATTTTGATGCGTGTACATATACTGTACTTTTCTATCGTGAGTGAGTGCGTATATATATGTGTTGCACATTTTTGTCGTCATTGTTCGAGTGGCATACTGACTTAACGTTTTGAGTTCTGACACTATCTCACGGTGGTGTCATGATATTGACACATGTCTTTGTATGTGGGTTTTAGTAGAAATTTATCACCGTGCATATGCGTAGGTATGTGCTTTCAGCCGTTTAGCTATACTCATGTGTAATTCCAAGGTTAAAGACACACTCCAAACGAACCTGTGTAGCGCTCATTCCAGCACCTAACCTTTGCGTGATTCCTTTGCACACTACACCGCTTCGGCTAGTGGGTTCCTGATGCTGGCCCTTGCTCTTAGCGGGAATCTTAGGTTTCGCAGCCTCTGAAACCGCTAAGGCATTCTCCCATACTGTCAGCTGGGGTGTAACGCTGACCATCATGTCTAATATCTCACAATACGTCTGGTGGAAGTGCGCCAATCAAAGGTAAAGCTCGGTACGAAATGTGCCTGATTTGTAAGTTGTAGTAAAGTCCTAGATTGTGCACTTATTTGTTGTCTGAGCCCCTCTTTATTGTCTGTGCACCTCTTTGTTGTCTGTGCACCTCTTTGTTGTCACTAGGTCTTGGGCAACGAGGCTAGGTAAGTCGAGTAAGTCATGTATGTGATCGGCCCCTTTCTCTTAGTCATCACATTAGGAATTTCGCAGCCATGCGCTTTCGCTCTGATCCATAGAATCGATATCTATTACGCATAACTTGTGAGTAGATTATTGCACCACATTAGTGCAATGAGCACCGGTTGTAACACATTCTGGCTCATCCGCCTAAGTATCTATCACCACCTCCGCTGGTGGCATCCTGGCTTTCTGATTTACTTGCATATCAATGAAGGGAAGCTCAGCTAAACCATATTCTTGGTTGTTCTACTTCCCTAATGTAATTCAATCGTCTCGCAGAAAGGGCACTCATATGAATCGGTTCGGTCCGTTCTATCTCACACTGATGGCTGTGCCGCTGGTGATGGCTGACCTCACTCGACACATCCTACAAGATTCGGGTAGGTGCAGTGGGTGTGCGGATATGTGGTTTTATTTTTGTAATGTACCTACGGGTGCCACCAGCTCCTTCTGAGCTTCACTGTAGACTGTACCAGACATACCTCCAACTCGCACGCGCGATCGTTATACTCGACACCACGTTTATTCATAGAATACAGAAGAGGGCTTACACTTTAATCACCTCCCCATACAGGCTACTGGCCGTCCCCCGGCAGTAGCATGTACAGATCCGGCTGTACGTCACATTGGCATATCTTATGTCTGTCCAAGGTGAGTTGACTATTATGTGTTGTGGCCAACTATTGTCCCCTTCAGCTGTGTAGTTCTTCGTTAGCATGTGTTCTGTCTGTCTTAGTTGAGCTGACTGATATATGTTGTGGCCAGCCACTATCCCTTTCGACTGCGTATAGGTCTTATATTAGTATGTGTCATGGTTACCATAGACATATTAGTAGAGTTTTGCTTTTAATGATATATTCGTGGGTTTTGGTGGATCTGCCTTCACGCTTCATTCTGATTTTTTTACTTGGTCCTGTCTGGTCACCGTGTACTTCTATTGATTCTGAACTGTATGTTGCACAGCTATTATTGTTTCCTGCCGGTTCGTCACTTTGGTTGGATATGGCGTATGTCGTTTCATGATACGGCCGTGCAAGGCTGACATTTAATGATTGTGAAACTTAGGAGTCTTTGTAGATATATTGTGTACCCAAATACGACTTGTTGAGGTCCTGCAATTTCTACTCCATAGATCGAAAACGTTATTTTCACTTGCTCCCGCGTTTATCTGAACTCGCCGAGTTGATGCCAGCACTTCGCCACTCAGTCATAGACATGGATTCAACAAATGCTCTCGCTGTGGCTGATTTAATTTTGTTGTTTGTTTCAATACAGGTCGGGTTCTGGTTCACAATAGTATTCACGTACAGCGGGTTTGCCTTGCTGGTGGTGGGTACTGTATGGGCCTCGAATGTTGTACCCAAGGTAACTGGAATAGTGCTAAACTTGCTGAACTTTTGAACTTGAATTGCTTAGCTTCAATTGCAATTAATGATTTCATATATATATGTAGTCGATTGTCTGAGCCTACGTTAGTATACATGCTCTGATTTTGCTTGCATAGGTCTCATTTAAATGGTTTCTTATGATTTATTACATCTATGGCTTGTTCAGTGGCTTGATTGCCTTATTCTCATTTAGATTTATTGGTATATGTATAGCATTAACGTCATCATGCCCATTACGCAAAGTTAAGCTACTTGAGGCGCAGTTATCTACTAATGGGCTGCGAACGAGAATACACACACGCGAAGATGCTCAATTAGAAGTTGAAGAGATAATTGAAATTTGTCGATTTCAATCCCTTTTTCACACGTCGCAGATCCGAAAAGCTTGGAGACGCATCCGGCGCAATAGAAATAACTCCTCGGCATAAGCTTACTACTGCGGCCGGCCACAACACGCGAAACACGGATGTACTGTTGTGTACACGACGACGACGCGGAATCCTACGTTGTATTATTTCGCTTTGAATCCATATTGACTGCTACGCTGGTAGTGGTCAAAGGGCTTTCAAGGCTGAAATTATATGGTGTTAGTATTTATTTTATCTAAAATACCCTAGAATTTATCGAATACAAAGCGGTATCTTCTCTTTTGATGCAAGCTTTTTCGCCGTTCCTTCATTATCCACACTATGAGAACTACGCACAGCAAATACGCAGGTGGATATCATCGGCACTGTGCTAGTTTGACAATTTGAGCAATAATGTCATCATGTATGTATGTGATGATGCTCGGTCTAGTATGCGACGGACTTCGCAGTGGTTTAATAGAGAAGGCGAAAACTTTGAATCATTTGAGGATTGCAATGGTATTAAAATAAAGGAATGATTATACGAAGGCTGATAAATTGATTGTATATAGGACGGGACTCCGTACATAGGAGTTATAAAACTTGCAACGATCAAGCTGACAGTACATGTAATAGCAGTGTTTAAGATTATATTGTATTGAGCACACCAATTTTCTAACATTCTACTGCCTATAACCTGTAGTCTTTCCTACGATTGAAGTTCGGGGTGACATGACGTTACAATACAGACCATATATTTCACCTATGATCCTAGATAAGATTTTACACTCTTGGCAATCTCTTTGGTGAGATCTGTTTTTTAGTTTTATACCCATTTAAAAACGATCCTGAAGGCGTTTTATATATACTAGACTTCGACCAAACACAAAACCGCATGCGTGTCGGGAAATATTTACATTGACATCAATATATATCACAAAGACTTTCTATACGCAGGAGGTGATCGTGTGTCTATGATAATCTAAGGACTGGCATTACGTCTACAAAAGCAACTTATGTAGGCATGTAGATTCTATCTCTTAGAAAACTGGGATTCTATTCAATATTGGAGGCCCGCGTGTGACCTCTTCTAGTAACTTTTTATACTCCTCATATGTTGTTTTATCGTATAAAGCTCTAAATTGTTCAATAGTGTGTTCTAGCACCAAGAAGATCTAGGGGCTATGTATTTAGTAGAATGACTTTTTAGTAGAATGGTTGTAGAATGGTTGTGTACCAAATATGAATTTATATTTTAATTTTTCTTCGGGCTGATAATGTGTAGCTAGCTCACTCCGGTGTAATAGATAGGTCGTAGTCTGCATCTATGTCACAAAGACGCTCGAATTTCCACCAGATGTCCGGATTGTCATGGTCGCACTCTGCTATATAGTACTGGTCCTCGGGCATTGTTACCGGTCGAGCTGCCAAGCAAACAGGTTCTCCATTGAATTCTAGATCAACCGATACTATCTTCACAACTTCGTCTTCTATAGGTAACGTGGGATGATCGGTTGTTCCCCACTTCACATATTCTCCTTCACATTCTCCAGGGATCAGATCTTGCATTGTACTATCGTCGGTAGGGCCGGTAAAAAGAGGATAGGTAGCTTTAAATGTCTCGTAGTCACTGACACTAATGCAATGGTCAGTCAGGCCTAGATTCTCATTCAAAAGAACAAAGCGGTTCCAGTGTCCGGGGTGCCAAATAAATTTGTTTTCCTGTTCTGAGCAGTCTTGATCTATCTCGGGATAGTAATTTCCGTTTTTGCGACTAGTGCAGAACCTGTGATAGTACGATCGTATGTGATACACTGGTTTTCCTTGTGGTGGACGTCTGCACTGACTTGTCGGCTCAAGAGGTCCAAGCACTGAAATCGTAAGAGATGAAATGTTTTTAAAGATCAGTTCTACGCAAGAAATAAAGGAAAATTGAATATAAAACCGTACAACATTTCGTGCATTCCGGATAGATTGTTACCTGTACTGGTTGCTGTGGGTGAAATTGAAGGCCTGGGCGACTGAGATGCTGCGGGAGAACTAGAAGGTTCTAAACTAGGTGGAATTGAGGCTGTGGAACTCGGAGAGGCGACCAATGTTGACGAAGGCGTACTGCTTGGTGAGGTTGACATTGTTGACGAAGATGTACTGCTTGCTGAGGCCGACATTGTTGACGAAGGCGTACTGCTTGGCGAGGCTGACATTGTTGACGAAGGCGTACTACTTGGCGAGGCTGACATTGTTGACGAAGGCGTACTACTTGGTGATGCAATCATGGTTGTCTGCGTGGTGTTTGGTAATGCAACCGTTGTTGTCAAAGGCGCAATACTTGGTAGCGATGGTGCAGAGGATTGAATGGATTCTAACGGTAATGACACACTAGGGCTACTTTGCAGTATAGACGTTTCAGAAGCGGAGAGTATAGATGTGTCACTATCGGAATCCGACAAAGGCTCGGCAGGTTGCCAAGGAATTGTGAGTCCATTGTCTCTCGCACAAGTCCACTCGGTTTTCAGTATATAACCAGCATTGCATAAACAAGTGACAATATCCTGGTCATACTGGCATAGTCCGTCATTGAACTCACACATCAAGCAAGAAATATCATCCCTTCTATCGTAGGCAACGTGTCCTACCGTATATGCCTGTACCCAGTCACATGCGTATAGCAAGGCGATGAAAAAGAGTGTACAGGGACGCGTCGGCATGACTATAAGAATATACTGATTTACTGTCCGGATGTTTCTTGATAATATATGTATATGCGATGGGGGGTTTTTTAAAATCACGAAGTTGACCAAGACCATGAAGGACAAGCGTTAAATTACGAAACAGGACAGCATGAATGTGCCATAGCCTCCTAATTCTAAAATCGAACAAGGATGTGTTGACAAATGAAACAACCACATTTTTGTTTTCACAAAAAAAGAAAACAATAAAAAGGACGGCGTTCGCCGCGTGACCCGCGTCACGCGTGGGGAATGAATCTAAATTCTGAATTTCTGAAAGAGTAAAGGCAGTGAAGTACTGATTACTGACATGAGAAGTCTCAAGTCCCGCTGTTGCCGTTGGGTTCTCAAAAACTAAACATTCTCATGTATATAGCAAAGCTGTCTGACTCTGTTGAAACAAAAAATTATTTTTAAATAGAAATACCTTTGGCTTTTCAGTATTACTCTTTTTCAGTTTCTACAATAAAAGTTGAAATATAAGTTCTCATTGTCCTAAGATAGTAAAACATGCTCTTTCGACTCTCGACTCTCAGATAGTCGCAGCCTCTCAGTCTCTCTGAGTATGACTCTGAATCTGGGGCCGGGGATGGGTCTGGGTTTCTGGGGACTCTGGGACTCTGGCAGTCTCTGGTCACTCCGGCCTCTCTGTTGGGGAAGACTAGTACCTTATCAAATACTACCTGGGCTGGAGTCAGTGGCGTGAGTCCCTGACTCGCAGTGAGTCAGTGACCGTCCCAGTGTCGTTTTTAAAATACAACCAAACAAAGGTGAGTAATGCATATTTTTGGGGGGGGTTTTTTAGTTTTGTCAACACTAAAAACAATAAAACATACATATGTATGTACTGAAGTGCCAAAGTCAGTGAAAGTCAAGTCCACTTTTTGAAAATATATTTGTTATTTGATTTTTATTTTATTTTAATTATATCAAATAACACTGATGAGTGATGACTGAAATACTCTGCACTTGTCGCGAGTCTCGAGACACTCAACTCTCATCACAAGCAACACGAGCAGATAGATATGTAGATGTTCACATAAAATAAGAAAAATATTTTTAATTTTGTTTGTTTTTTATAGTTTTGTGTTCTTATGTCTCTTGGTTTTGTCCTTTTTTTTAATTTAACAAAAGACAAAAAAACCATTGTAAGGTTGTTCCTCACTTCCTCACTGGGCTGGGGTAAATAAAAAGACGCGACATTTGGCAAAAAAAAAACATCAGACGTATTGGCACGACATTTTGTCAGACATGTCGGTCGGCGTCGGGTTTCGTCGACAGATCTAGTGTTGGCCCAGACCCGACTGTCGCAACACCAAACGACATTTACTACGTGTCGCGGCGACATTTTTTCATGGGTGGCTTCCTCAGGCTCTCACTGACTCGGGTCTCAGATTCTCAGACCGGAGAGGACTCAGGAGACAGGATGAGAAGGTCAGGAGACTCGAGACTCGAGACTCGAGTTGGGAGAGACTGGAGTCTGGACTGCAAACTTTAAATTCGTACTTCATTTTTGGTGCAAACGTAGTACGTTTTACGTTAGCGCTTCAATTTGAAAGCGTGTATACGTATTACGATTTACGAATTGAAGTCTGGTCTGGAGAGTCGGAGAGACGGAGAGTCGGAAGTTGGAGAGTCTGAAACTTTCTCGGGAACTGAGAACTCTGAAGTCCTTTTTTTTTCAAAGTCTCGCACATCTCAAATCTGTCACATCTTACATCTGACATTATTACTTGACGTGTCTCAGTGACTCAGAAGTCAGAACTCAGAAGTGGGATTTTTTTTTAATGTCTGATCATAGAAATTGATTGAACATTGGGACATTTAGAAGCCTATGGTCTGATGAAGAATAAAATAAAAGTAAATATGTACTTTATTAAAATACTTGATCTTTTTCAATTGTTGCCTTCAAGTTTTCAACAACATAAAAAGGGTTTTTAAAAAGAATATTTTTTATTTACTCTTCGTGCGAGTCAGATTCGCATAGTTCGATAAACATTAAAATATGTAAACAATATTTATATTTTTACTCTATATAGTCTATAGTCTATAGTCTCCATTTGAAAAAGTTTTTGACGTACTCTCAAGTTCTAAAGTCTAACCTTCAGAGAGAGTGAGACTACTAGAGTAGAGTATTGAATAGTCGCACTGTCTTGTTTTGTTTTTCTTTTTCTTTTTAAAAAACAAAAATATTTTTCCGATGGGTAGAGCTTTTTTATTATTATAAATACAGTAATTTGTTTTCTGTAAAAATAAATATGTTGAAACTTGGAACCGCTATTTTTTCTCATCATAGCAAACAATAGTCAATATTTATCAAGGCTCTCTCCAGTCTCGCTCTCTCTAATTCTAAAGTCTTGGGTACGAGTACAGGATGTTGTCAGGCCTGTACTGTGATCCACAATTGGCAATTGCACATGTGCTACTCGGAAATTTTTGGCTACAACCTGAACCAGGTCAAAATTAAAATCGGTTCGCCCGCGATTCAATTTACGCACTATCGAGCACTGTTTCAAGATCACATAAATACTCCGCGTACAAACCTTCTATGGCCTTATTTGTGCTTTCGGATCCAGTACTTTTTGCCGAAGGCCTACACAATGCAGATCATTCAGCAGATTTTAGTAGCGCTTTACATTCTGATAGCGCCAGCCTCGTCTCACTCTTTGAGTCGAACTATACGCCAGGATGATGTAGTAGCGGTTAATAGTTCCGAAACGCTGATAAATACTACAAGTAATCTTACAGAACCGGATACAGCTTTCGAATCGTCCTTCAATGATACGAGTAATGTTACAGAAACGGTTATCACTTCCGAATTGCCGATTGCTAGTTCCGAACCGCTGATAAACACTACCAGTAATCTTACAGAACCAGATACAGCTTTCGAATCGTCCTTCAACGCTACGAGTAATGTTTCAGAAACGGTTATCACTTCCGAATTGCCGATTGCTAGTTCCGAACCGCTGATAAACACTACAAGTAATCTTACAGAACCAGATACAGCTTTCGAAACATCATTCAACACTACGAGTAATGTTACAGAAGAAATGGTTGTTACTTCTGAATTGCCGATTGCTACTCCACAAAGCTCTGTTGCGTTCTGCATCACTTGTCAAAATAACAACGGGTCATGCGTAGGAGGAAGTTGTGTTTGTAATTCAGGGCACACTTTAGTTATAGACGCCGCTAACAATACCTGTAGAGTCATTACTGATGAAGAAGCCCAAGACCAACTGTGCCAAGACTGCCACGTGAGTGAAAATGGAAGGTGTATATATTCAGAAGTTGGAGTTGATTATTTCAGGTGTGAGGTAGGTTGTCGATTCTCGTTTTCGATGATATCACTTTTAATTGCTTATTTGAATTTTGTACATGACAAATTTAAATCATGCAAACTAACGGCAATTTTTTTTCTATCTCGTAACTCGTGATACAGTGCAAAATCGGCTTTACCGGTGCAGAATGTACGGAAAGAATATGTGATGGTATGTACTGATGTTTTATTGAGAATTGTTTGTGGGTTGACTAACTTGACTTTCCTTTGATAATCTTATTTTTACATGCTTTTTTAAAAAGATTATGAGTTCAAGAACTGTAGAATACTAAAATCCTAATAATATATATATATAATTATATATGTACTAACATTTGTATACACTGCCATGTAAACAACGGTATAGATCCATTCGCAGGTATTCGGTTCGACACCGACGATTGCGGGCAATACATGGTGTCCAACGATGGTGTTCTTTTCAATTGCGCTCCCCCTGAATCCGTTGCTCGTTGTACGAAGATCGAGTTCAAAGACGAAGGCATCAAAATCGAATCCCTGGAACCAACTGTTTTTAATGAACTAAGCGAATTGACTCATGTGGATCTCGCATATCATCAGCTTGTGGCCCTGCCAGATGATGTTTTTCAAAACAACTTGAAACTTCAACGCGTAAATTTGGCCAGCAACAAAATAGAAACACTCTCAGGTAGGTGAGGCCGGTAGACATACCGCCTAGACTTCAAATTATTATCTATCCAGTGTTTGTATCTACTAGCTAATAATGTATTTGTTGTGATTTTTTTGTGTGCCTTTGTTCGTGTATATGCCGCGGCTAGAACTTTCGTTCGTTTAACCATATAATACACGGTTTTGCTGCTAATGGTGATCCTACCCCCTTTCATCTCTTAGACAGAGTGTTTTCGCGAAACCTTGGCATAGAGAGCCTGTTGCTTAACAGAAACAACATCAGATCGCTTGGTCCGAATCTCTTCAGAAGTACTCGGTCAATGATTTTTCTGGATATGGATCACAACCCGCTGCTGTCTATCCCGAGCGGATTGTTCTCCAGCAGCGAAAAACTGGCATACTTGAAGATGAACGATATGAGCATTTCACATCTCGAAAATAACGTTTTCCGGTCATGTGTCAATCTTTTGAAGCTAGAGATGCGTAGCAACAATTTGACTGCTCTGCCATCGGATCTTTTCGCAAGAAATGCTAAATTGGAAACACTGTATGTATCTACCATGTGGATATTTGTGCAAGGCAATGTTTTTCTAGGGCAAAGGGAGGTGTGCTTTTTTATTTTTAAATGCTGCGTATAAATGGGCTCGTTTGGCTCTATGCACTGACTCACAAACACAAAAACATGTCACAGAAACCTTGAGCACAACAGCATTACCACGTTACCGGATGGCTTCTTGGCGCCGACAGCGATGATTGTTGTCGATTTGACGAATAACTCCATCAGTCATCTATCAGAATCCAGTTTCGACGCAACTACACTAAATGAAGTGTAAGTTTGATATGAGAAGTGCTGAAAATATCGTGTCGAGGACTTGCATGCTTATTGATCCCATTGAACTCTTTCAGACAGTAGCATATTCACAACCTGATATTGTTTTTATGTCCACACTTTTTTTTTGGATACGTCAGGGTACTGAGCCAGAACGCTCTGGAAAGCCTGCCGAATAATATATTCCGAAAACTACCGAACATGAGTATACTTAGTCTAGCCGAGAACGCTATACGAAATATTCAAGATGAGTTGTTCTTTTCAACGGTGAAACTCCAAATCCTGTATGCATTTCCCACTGTGCCATTCAATCGCCCGTGGCCATATGTGTCGATGAGATTTTTACTTGATCTTTACTGCGTGTATTGAATGCGCACGATGATTTCGACAAAAACATAATTGTACTGTCAGTGCACAACTAACACTTATCAATCACTTTTTCTGGCTATTGGTATACCAGGGACCTCTCATACAACAATTTGACGGCGCTTACTAAGAATATATTTTCGTCGCTGCCAAATTTGAAAGTTTTGTAAGTGATATTTCAATTCGTGCTGACTCTCTGTATGTAATATTACAATCAGTGCTCATCCGCTTCAAAATTAATGATTGAGCAATCGAAAGTGCCCAATTATCAAGATTCTTGACGAAAACACTAATCCACTTCTTTCTAAATTGATAATTACCGTAAGAACAGGAAGGTAGAAGGGAATAGAATCAAATCGTTCGAGACTGATACCTTTGCCAATAATGAGGTGCTGACAAATCTGTAAGTACATCAATGCATGGTACGAGTATACTCTAGTGTACTTGAGCTTAATGTGCAATATACATATTGATTGATGGAAAAATTGTGATACAAACTACAGCTAGCAGAGGTGTGTTGTAATATATTAACTTTTGCTAGGACAACGCCCAAGAGTCTTAAGTATAATAATTTTTTAATCGATAAGTAAATGAATGGTACCAATATCTAATATTTATTGTGTGGTAGTATGGAAAGCAATTCGATCGTGTGTTTGCCGAGTAACAGATGTCTACAAGTATATTTGTATATTCGGAAACATGTGTACCTGCACTCATGCGCATGTCTACCAGCGGCTATGAGCTGCACATATTTTATATGAGAGTGTATGTCGGTATAAGTGAAGCAACTAACCGACATTTTTTCTCTTCCGCCCAGTACCCTTCAGCAAAATGAGATCGATTGGATTCCTCCTTATGCGTTTTCAAAAAATCCGGATCTATCACTTTTGTAAGTCATCTTCAATGTTTGGGTAGATGCGCAATGCAGATTGTACAATGTGCGGTTTCAATGCGGAAGTTTGGGTCGTGTGCTCGAATACGCTTGATTGCAGTCGGGACCGATACATTTGTGTATTTATTCGATAGCTGCACATTGCTCTCATTGTTTGTATACCCACATTACGCCTATCGACTTCGATGACGGGTTCTTTTAAATCGCCCCTGTTTACAACTTGACTTACACAGAAACTTGCGTAGCAATCAATTGACGCAAGTAATAACCAACGACTTCATGAATAATGGAGCTCTCAAGTTTCTTAATCTGAGGGACAATAAGATCGACATGCTGCCCGTCAATGCTTTTTCACAGGTTACTCAGCTACAAATTCTGTAAGTATTTTGCAATTTCTAAGTGCCCTCGCCCACGCACACATGCACGTTGTATGTCAGATAAAATCAACTACTAGCGAATGAGATGCATATCGAAATGTAGAGTATTTAATTCTACACTCTTTAGATTATCCTACTATGTCAGAGTCACTGTTCTTCACCTATGTGTATTCATCAGTATCAGATGAAAGCTCCGACCTGTTGTCGATTGCATTCTGCTGCATATGCAAATAGTTATTTAGATCGTTGATCATTACCTATTCTTTTTCGCAAACAAGTTTAATAATATATAAAACACGACACTCGAAACTTGCGTTCTCCAAAAATACTTGGATAAACTCATAACATTTTACTATTTCAATATCCCTACGCCGATACATAGGGACCTGAGCCACAATGAATTGACCACTATACGAAATGGGACCTTCAACTCCAACCCTGAACTAGAATATGTGTAAGTATGCGTATTTGGTGGATTACGTTTGACAAGCTCATGATCATAATGGCTACTTTGTGCTGTTTAGGTTGGCTCGAGGGTTGTTGAACGCCCACGCATACTTGTGCTCATCTGCGTGAAATAGAACTGTATCTGAGTGCGGGTTGGGTAGAAAATTCGCGGCGTACTTAAGAGATCGACTGCGGCTCCGGTATTCAATGTACACCATACCATATGCCATCAACAGATATCTAAACGACAACGAGCTACAGGATCTACCGGAGGATCTTTTCAACACGAACGAGAAATTGAGAGTCCGCTACATATACAACAACCCTGGTTTTAAGCACTGTACGGTACCAGGGGTAGCAGAAGAACCCGATTCGGAAAACGATTTCGTTGAGTAAGTAAATGTCTGTCCGAGGTATATATGAGCCTATGTGCATACCTATACGGAGACTTGTACACATACATACGTGCACAAACACACACATACATGCACGCAAAGACACAAACAACCTACATACACGCGCGCACATATATATATATATATATATAGACAAACACACACACACACACGGAGAGACACGCACACAAAACACACATTTATATATTTATTTATTTTTTCATATATAATATACATATAAATGTATTATATTATACAATATATACATATATATACACACAATTAATATATATATATGTACTCACCCGCACACATCCATATATACATATATATGTATATATTAATATAAACATATATATGTATATATTAATATATACATATATATACATACATATATACATGTAAGGTGTGCATATCTACATCCTCTACATATAGATAAGCGGGAAAATATGCATCCAGATATTTACATGTATGTATATGGAGATAAATATGAGTGTGTATGTGGGAGTGTATATGTGAACACGTACATATGCACAAGCATGCACACAGAAGCACGCGCGCGCACTCTATATATGTTCAGTAAGTAAAAAGAAATAATTGATGTATCTGTTGGGAGAACTACACAGAGGGTAGTATGCAGGCCACTAAACGAACTCAATTTTTTTACTTCTCTTTGTCTTGCACAGTTTGGAGAACGAGGTGCCAAGACTCGGTTGTCCACTTACAGACCCAGCAGCGAGTTGAACAAGCAAAAGACTTGATATATATACCATCGATAGTTAAGGATATATACATACATATATTTATTTACATACACATACACACATATATATATATATATATATATATAATGGGCGTCGTATCAATTGTGAAGGCGTAATATAATCATTCATTAAAAAGTGAAGGTGGCTAGACGGCAAGTAGACAATCAGATTTTACTACTGTGTTTCCGTGTTTCACTCTCGGACGACAGTCGTGCGTTAAGTCCGGCAGACCCCTTAACCGTTCTCTCTATCGCATTGTGCAACAATCAAAGTACCCTTCACCCTTGACGAACATGTATACACCAGTCTGAACCGGCGAGTCGCGTATGACACTTATAGTGAGTATCGAGGTAACTATAGACCTTTAAGTATCTTGCTAAATAAAAAATTATATATGGATATACATACATACATATTAACCTACTAAATGAATTAAAAGGATATCTAAGAGACATAAACAGTATACTGGTAGACATTATGTAAAGAATACCACATGTTTCCATTAACAAAAAACACACATGCAAACACAACATGTGCGGCTACCCACAATTGTCACGCCATTGGGAATCACTCACAGCTGTGTATAGGTATAGATCAGCAACTTTTCGATTCCATTTACCGGACTTGTATTTGAATACGGGCCCATAGATTATATCCTATATCATGGTATGATAACTCGATAAAAGTGTCCACGCATATATACTCATCTTCAAGCACAAAGAAGATGAAAACATATTAATGAATCTAATTGTGAATCTATGTATAAATATCTACCTGTGTATATAAAAGTATGTGAATATGTAAAGATATATATATATATGATTACGAACACATGCGAACGTTATAATAATACTATATATATCTATATATAAATATAAATGTATATGTGTATATATATATATACATGATATGTAATTGTGTATATATATATGTGCCTGTGTGTGTCAGTATGCAAACATACACATATACATACGTACATATATATATACATACATACATATATACATACATATGTATATATATATGTGTATATATATATGTGTGTGTATGTGTGTGTGTGTGTAACTATTTATGTG